TATGTTATTATTAAGAGGAAAGAGCAAAATATTTTTTTTAATTATTAACTTATATTTTTAAATCCTTTTTAGAATCTTCAAAATTTTAAATTAAAAATTTGTTTTTCTAGCGTCAACAGGTGACCATAAATTAGCCAGATAGATTTTAACGTCGTTTTGTGGTTCAAAATACATTAATTTGGAAATTCAAGGAAAATCCAGTTAATTATCGGATTTTATTGAAACATTCAGGTCTTATTCGCAAATAAATGAAATTATTTTAGAAACGTTTCTTTATTAGAAGATCTTCGTAAAAATATTTTATATTTAATTTACATCTGTTAAACCCCACATTTACAAATTCATTTTCGTACTGTTTAATGTTTATATTAGTTATAAGCACAAGTCCTTGCAAAATTTAAATCATTTTTCGTAAAACAGGCTGAGTTATAGAAAATTTGTTCTAAATCGTAAAATAAAATATGCAATAAAACTAATGCACTAATTTATTAGAAAATCCTTTTATTGCTTTTAGGAATAAGATATATACGATTGTCTTGAGAAGAAATCCTGATGAATAATGAATTTTTACAAGAATTGTTTACATTTTTTTAATTGTAATTAAAAATGATTCATAAAGTCTTAAATAATTTAAAACTCTGTATCAATTTGTAGCGATATTGTAGTGATACGGTTATTAAGTAAAAACTTTACTAATCATAAATAGAAAAGTTTACTATAATTCGGTGACCCCAGTATTTTAAAAAGTAATTTTTTTTTGTGTGTGTTAATAAACGTGCCGACTTTTGTAAATACGGACGTCCATACACGATATTGTCAAAAAATATGATCGATAACTAAAAGAAATTTAAAATTTATTGGTAATTTTCTAACATTTCCTCAACAAAACTTCGTAAGACTATAAAGCCATAGTACTGAAAAATTCAATAAAATATTAGATTACTTAGAATATTTCCCTAAAAATTAAAGTTACTGGGTAGTTAATACACACACACACGCACATACACACACACACACACACACACACACACACATATATATATATATATATATATATATATATATTTCGTTCACGTTATATTCGTCAAGTAATTTTTACAGTTATATCTCCCGTAGAAAAAATTACAAATTTAAGTCTATCAATAGAGTTATCAACACCTCATAAAAAACACCCACCTCCATGTTAATAATACTTGTAATATTTTAAACTAAAATTAATATTTGTTTCAAATCAGATGAATTAAATTTTAAATCACCTAATCTTCCTCAAATAAAGTTTCAATAAAGTATTTTTTTATTTTTGAAATAAAGAGAATTGACAAGGGTTATCGATCTGTCTGATTTCAGCCATCTTTAGCAATAAAGACTCATTCCAATCAAGTTAAATTCTGTTTGAAATAGAGCAAAGTATTTTGCTTATTGGAAATATTTAATTTAAAACTAAAATAAAAGCTTCAAGAAAGAATTTTCATTTTTAAAAAATCATTTTAAACCTTGGATATCGCTTTTCTTTGGAGGTACCTATGCGATTTTTCTTATTTAGAAGTGACCATAAAACAACACATTTTCAATATTATCAGAAATCATTGTTGAAAATCCTTTTATTAGTACTGATCATGGTTTAATAAAAACGGTTTTCAAATAAGGAATTATATTTGTTATTTTCCTTCAGCGTGTATTCAGGAATAGCTACAAATATACGTCCATAATTTGTATAAACGATTGAGAATATCGAAATAGAATATAAGAAAAAGAAAATATAAACATTAAGCAAGAAATAATAACCTCCATAAATATATCGAGAATAAATCAGAATTATATGTAGTCATACCAATTGAAACCTACAAACGGCTTTTCTGTGTAAATAAATCTGCAAATTCTTAACTCAAATTAACAAATTTACTCACAAAATAAATTGGAATGTATTACCTTATAAATATTCTTGATAATTGTTTGTTGGTCAAATACAATCTTACTTGGCACATATAGCTTGAGTCACCAGGAATACAATCTAGAAAATATAATTAAATACTGCAATGAAGTCATTGCGCCGTTACTAAATAATAACACGAGATTTAATCTCTTATATTTAACATAGATACCTTCATGAGATCGCTAAAAAGAGTATAGCATGATGAAAAAGACGCCAAACTTCACGAAAACATAACTTTATCATCTAAATGTTTATGTTATTATTAAGAGGAAAGATGAAAGTATTTTGGGGGTATTTTTTTTACATTTTTTAATCGTTCCTAGCACGTCCAAAATTTTCGTTAAAAATCTTGTTTTTTTTAGTCAGCAAAATTGACATATAATCAATCATGTCAGCCATTTTTTTGCAATTTATAAAAAAAAAATAAAAATCTCAGTTTGAAATTCTTTTAAAAATCAATTATAATTTTTTCAAAACTTATTTTAAGAAAATCAGAAATTATAATGCTTATTGAAAATATTTTGAACCGAGCTTAACTTAATTTCTGAGCCGAAAAACGTAGTTTGAAAATAAAACAAAGCAGGCCATAACCTTTCGCGAACTTGACAGGTGACGAAAGACATTCATGACGTTTTGATGGTTTACATGAGGATAATTCCTTCTACGGAAGGAGAGATGTGAAGTTATTTAGATTTAAGTGAACAAATTATTTACCTCGTTATTTTTAAGAAAAATTTCAGCGCTCTAATTTTTTTAATTTTTTGTACTTAGCTTTCACCTTTATGCTTACGATGTTTTATAGAAAATATATTATAAAGAAATTAAAATAAGACTGTTGAGAGGGAGATTAAATTTCATAAGAAAGGTATCTAATTCATTTATAGGTACCTTTCTTATGAAATTTTATCAGAGGTGTACATAAAATACAAATTTAAATTTCATAAGTTGATACTGATACTTGTAGGTCCCCTTCTCAGTTGAAATTGAAAAATCAAATTAACTTCTCCACACGTGTTTCACAAAAATAAATCTATCTCAAAAGGACAAATGACAAAAGGACGAAATTGAATGCAGCTTTTAACTAATTTTATAATATTTTAACAACTTAAATGTAAAAATCTATTATAATTAAAGAAATAGCAAATAATTGTATTAAAAATTCAGTATTTAAGTTAAATACTAGACAGAAACTCAATCCAAATAACATTTTTTTATTGCACGCATGATACTTCCGGTCTTCCGTAGATTTAATTAACAGTGTTATTATCGACACAAATTAAATTTTTTTATATACTGTTGTTCGTTAGTTTGTAAGAAGCTTTGGAAATTATAATCTGCAAATATATATCTACTTAATAACAACTATCGTTAAATTCTACAAACTTTTGCATAATTTTAGAAGAATTAACAACATAATGTAAAAATGATAAAATATTTCAGAAATAACAAATAATTATTTTAAAAATTCATTTTGCATCGAAATATCTTTTTGCTTTCAAACAATATTGTCCATGTTCCTTAAAATAAATAAAAGCAATTAAAAGCTTTTGAAATTAAATAATATTTTGTTTTATTGAGTTTTGTATGTTACAATTCTGAGATGATTTTCAGGTAGAAGTGGTCCAACTAAAAAAAAAAAAAAAAACATGATTTGGTTTCCTCAAAGTCTTGTGCTTTTAACTAATATAATCACTAATCTTCCCAAAATTGAGTTTTCGTACAATTAGTTGGGGGGGTGAGGGGGTAATACATATGAAAAAAATATTTTTGCCATGATTTTAAAAAAGAAAACATATTTATAAGTTCCATTGTTTGTGAATAGTTTCTGAAAATGTCATTAAAATCCAACAATTATTTTTATTTTTGCAAGATTTTCAAAATTAATGTCTGTCATACAGAAAAAAAACGCGCTAAAATTTTGTTATTTTACTAGTTCCGGTGATATAAAAAGAAGCAAGGTTTTTTTAATCAAAATTTAGAATGTTCTAAAATGAAGGAAAAATTTTTTAAAATAATTCAAAAATACTTTGATCTTTCCTCTTAATAATAGCATAAACATTTAGTTAGACGCTAAAATTTTGTTATTGTCAAGTTTGACGTCTTTTTCCTCATGCTATGCTCTGTTTTTAGCGATCTCATGAAGGTACCTAAATTTTACTCCAATGCTGTGTGGCTTCGTGGCCCCTCATCCGAAATGTAGGCATTATCGTATGCAATGTCTAAGAAAAATTTCCCCCTCTTATCGCTGGAGTGGGAGCTTATATCTCTCTCATGCAGCTTTTTCTCACGTTTGCAACCCACGTGTAGCTGGTTCATTCACGTGAATCTGCACTTGCTGGTCAGGAGGTCATACTTCAGATCAACTCTGCACCTGGATTTCTCAGAAGGACACTGAATACACAGTCTATTTTGCATAATCGGGGGTGAGACATACACTACATGAATAGGTTAAATAACAAATGAATAGGTTAAATGAACAAGTTAACTTTTATAATTAAAGGCTCTCATTCCTATTGTATGTGTTAAGGAATCCAGCAATACACGAATGACTAAAGCGTAACCGATTTCACTTTCAGTATTTATCCGAATGTATTGTTTTAAATAAGAAAGTCTATTAAAATTATTTTTAGTTATGAATTTTTATCAAATATATAGAGAACTCTACTTATTTCTGAGAAAGATTTTTTTTTATTTTGGAATCTTTAATAAAGTAATAGATTCTGAATAAAACACATATCTTATGAAGAATAATTTAATTTATCCCCAAAATAACAGGCACGTGTTTTTATGTGTGTTTAAAAGTGATAGAAGTGGGAAGAAAGACTTTGTAAACAGGTACTTAAACTATATTAAAAATCTAAGACTTATTAATTAAATAAAAATAAAAAGGTTTACAACCAACAGGCAATGTTTAGTTTTGTTTTCCACTGTGTTAATGAGGAATTAGGAATACTTTCATCAATTATTGCTTCCTTTTTTGTTTTGTTTTGTTTTGTAAAGGATTTCAGTTGCTTGATGAACATCCGTTATTACAGTTTCCACGCTGTTATTAGTTTCCACGTTGATGTTACAGTTTCCACGCTGACCGCATCATTAGATCAAAATAAGCATCGGAGTCTATAGAAGCACTTACACCACTGTAGTAATTCAAAAATTCTTCTTTTGTAACCTGAAATACACGCAAACAAAAATTACTTCAAAAGATTTTCCGACGAAATTTGCAATTTGTAGTTCAATTTTAAAACGCTATGTTAGGTGAAGTTTGGTCAAATTGAAATTAATCAAATTCTATAAACTCAGGCGAGTCGTTCTTACAAATTGTTGCCATTTGTATTATTTTCATCACAATAACAAGTGAGTTCAATTCTCATTGGTTATCTACCTTTTGCTATAACCAATTTGATTAAACTTCTACATAAAATCCTACAAAAAGAGATTATAAAAACAATGAAGTAAGATTCCATGTACGGTTTGCTATTCCGATAGAACAGATTAACTAGTGACAATCAAGATTTTAAATTGATTTTTTAATCGTCTCTGTCAGTCAGTCCGTTTTTGTAGAAATAACCGTGGCGATATCCTCACAGTTCACGTATTTCATAATCGATATCTAGTTTTTTTTTAATGAATACGTAGTTAGAGGTTCATGGTAAATCTAATAATTCTTGATATAAGAATCATTTTACTTATCCCAGTTCGTATGTTTACTATGTATGCTTAAATACGAAACAGCATCTTACACACACGGTTCCCCACGCGTACATATGTCGGTACAAATCTGTTTATATATTAATTAGCAATTTATCATAGCTCCTCGCTACTCCGCCCACGTGACCAAGGGCACATTATGACCTTGACCTTTTCTTCATTGCGTTGCCACACACCCTTCAATTTAAGTTCAATTAGTTTCATTATAACCCTAATGATGTTTTAGTTGTTTAAATGTTATACACTTTGCGGACATTTTATACTTTTTATATTTCATAACACATCTCAGTTTATTTTTAGTACTTTGCAGGACCAGTTTTTACTCCCTTTCCATATAACCCGGCGTCTTCTCGCCGAACCCAGGCAGATGGGACGAGGAAGAGGAGAAACGCAGGCCATTGTGGCCAGGACGCTTGGATGGGTTACTTATTTGAGTTACATTCCCATTGATTTTTGCCTGTCAACTGGACGCCAGTTGACCTTTCTTACTTCCGGCATTCTTGTCCTTGCTACTTCCGGCTATCTCGGGCGCTTACTTCCGGCATTCATGGCCTTTACTACTTCTAGCTACCAAAACCTCATATCTTCCCGCAACTTTCGGCATTCCTGCTCTTTATTACTTTCGGCCCTTATCTCGGCCTAACTCACAACAACATCCCTGATCTTCCGGCTACTCATTGGTCTCTACTTTTTCTGGCATCACTGTCTCGAGCAAGATGACTTGGTTGAACGGCGTTAATGGACCTGCTTACAACAGTCTCGAACTTCCGGCCACACATTGGTCCCTACTGCCGGCATCTCTATCTAAACCTAACTCACCTGGTTGATCAGCGTAAATGGACCCGCTTACAACGGCTCTGAACTTCCAGCTACACTAGGTCTCTCCTCTCAGCTTCCCTATCAACCTAATTCATCTGGCTTATGAAATTGCTACATGTATATCACCTAGACTTCAAATAAACTATTCCGTACACTTCGGTTAAAATACTACGGAAGGTTCACCATTGAACTTGACCAGCAACTACTCAATGCCAGCTTGACATTTGAAGTAGATTTTCAAAGTGTGGACTTACCTGCCAACTTAACTTACATGGACTCTACTTGTAAGATTTAGTCACAGATATAATATCTAGAGCTTCTAGCCGGTCAAGTCTTCCTAAATTTACTCAATTATGTCTCCATTACTTGATACTTGTTTTGCCGTTGTTCCTTTAAACAATTCACTACTAATGTATTCAATATAAATAAATTTTTTATTAATTTTAAGTTTCTGTCCTCATGTTGACCTGTCAGATTTCACGTCTTTAATTTATAAATGTTAACAGGCCTCCTGAGACTATCTTTATTTGGGCGCACAAGGCCATTATATATCGTGCCCCACTCTAAGGGGGTCTACTACAAATTCAAACGAAATTTTCAGTACTTATTCATTAATGAATTAATTTTTTGACTAAATAGGTAATTTTATTTCAAAAAAATCTATGGGTATGTTTCACATCCACCCTGTTCAATATCTCGTGTATACTTTTTAATTTATTTTTTGTGTGGGGGGCGTCATCCAATTTTTTACAGTTGTATAAAGAAAAGTCTATGAAGATATTATTTCAGTAAAAAAAATTATGTAATATCAATATCAAGTGTGAACATCTGGAAATTCGTTCTGTATTTTACCAAAAAGCAGTCAATAAAATTCAAAATACATTTTTTAAAACTAGTGCTTGCATAATTTAATAAAACACATTATTTTCTTTTAGATTTGACAGAAAAAAAATCTACACGTTAATTTTTCAAAAATTATTTTTCAGTGCAATTTCGAAATTCGTCCCGTGGTTGTTCATCACAAGAGTTTCTTTTATTAAATAAAAACATGTTTGAAGATTACAAAAATGTAAAGTTTAATGCCATTTTGGAATGTGAACCTTTTTTAAAAGAATTTTATTTTATTTTTATTTTTAGCAACTATTAGATTATTTTTGGTATGGATGTACAAAAACGAAATAATTCTGATATATCGGAAGAGTATATTACGATATTAATCTAATTTCATATTTCCTGTTCAGTCAGTTTTTACTTTTTTGTGTGTCTTAAAAGCAATTTTCCAATTTATCAGTACAGTTGGGTTTTTTTTCATGTGTCTCTGGTTTCTTATATTTATTTACACATTCTTGTATACGAGAAGAAGCAATACTTATTTCAGTAATTAAATGTAAATTGTTCTTTTAAGTCCTTATACTACGGAAGAAAATCAGAAATTATAATGTTTATTTAAAATATTTTGAACCAAGGTTGACTTAGCTTCTGCGCCGAAAAGATGTAATTTGAAAATTTGAAAGTCATAACCTTTCGCGTCACTTGACAGATGATGAATGACATATTGACGGATTTATGTGATCATAATTTTTTCTACGGAAGCCGAAAAGTGAAGTTATTTAGATTTAAGTGAGCAAATTATTTACCTCGTTATTTTTAAGAAAAACTTTCACCGCTCTAAATTTTTTTTTTTTTTTTGAACTAAGCTTTCACCTTTACGTTTCCGATGCTTTATGGAAAATATATTATAAAGAAATTAAAATAAGAGTGAGATTAAATGTCATATTTCATCAGAAAGGTATCTAATTAATTTATAGGTACCTTTCTTATGAAATTTTATCAGAATTGTACATAAAATACTATAATTTTATGTACATTTATTACATTACACTGTGTTATTTGTATTTGCATTCATTTTATTATTAATTTTAATATTTCATTTATGGAAAAATGTCATAACTGAGATTAATATAAAAATAAGATCATATAAATTTCATAAGATGATACTGACACTTGTAGGTACCCTTCTCAGTTGAAATTGAAAAATCAAATTAACTTCTCCACACGTGTTTCGCAAAAGTAAAGGCCTTAACAGCGGAGAACAATGCTTAATTCAAATAATTGTATTCTAGTTGGTCTTCCTTACTTTATAATTACAGCCCGATTATAAACACAAAATTAGATTTCTTAATTACTGCGGCTCTTCTGATTAATCAAAATGATACAATTTACAACGCGCTAAAAAAAGATCTCATAAGGACACTTAGGAAACCAGATGCGGCTTTTAACTAATTTTATAATATTTTAACAACTTAATTGTAAAAAATCTATTATAATTAAAGAAATAACATATAATTGTATTAAAAATTCATTTTTCATCGAAAAACTTTTTTGCTTTCAGAAAATATTGTCCATATTCATAAAAGCAGCTAAAAGCAAATAAAAGCATTTGAAATTAAATAATATTTTTGTTTTATTGAGTTTTGTATGTTACAATTCAGAGCTGATTTTCAGGTAGGGGGGATCCAATTAAAAAACAAAAAAAAACATGATTTGCATTCCTCAAAGCCTTGTGCTTTTAACTATTGTAATCACTAAACTCGATGCGATCGAATTTCTAGCGTTTTCATAAAATTATTTATGGGGAGGGGGTAATAAATATAAAAAAAATATTTCTGCCATGACTTTAATAAAAAAAAAACTTATTTATAATAATTTCGATCATCTGTAAATAGTTTCTGAAAGTTTCATTAATATCCGACAATTATTTTTATTTTTGCAAGATTTTCCAAATTAATGTGTGTCATACAAAAAAAAAACGTGCTAAAAATTGTATGTTATTTTACTAGTTCCGGTGATACAAAGAGAAACAAGGTTTTTTTTTAATCAAAATTTAGAATGTCCTAAAAAGAAAGAAAAATTTTAAAAAATAATTAAAAAAAACTTTAGTCTTTCCTCTTCATAATAACATAGACTATAAAATTTTGTTTTCGTCAAGTTTGGCATCTTTTTCATTATGCTATGCTATTTTTTTAGCGATTTCGTGGATTTACCTAATTTTACTGATCGAAATATTTACCATTTTGTTCCACTATTGTCTGTTATCTTTCAAACAAATTCTATCTTTCCAGAAAGTTTTATCTTTCTCAGAAAAGAATTGCTCTGATGTGAAGTCGAAGTTTAGCACTAGTCAGTCGCTAAGCTTGTCTTCATCCCACGTTATTCTCAGTGACGAGTTATATAGGCTTTCTCTTGCACTTATGCAAATTAGGCATATTAATTTGCCAGTGTCACTACATCTCCCTGAAACGTATAGGTTTTATACCTCTAGTAGTTCTTCTCATGATAGTTTCATTGCTTTTCTCTCTCTCTCTCTCTATCTCTCTCTCTCTATCTCTCTCTCTCTCTATCTCTCTCTCTCTCTCTCTCTGAGACCTAGATCTGTCACGCGCTAATCTGTAATCATAGGCATTTTCTTGCATTATTCGATCTTCGTCCCAACTTTCAAACTCATTCTGACCCACTTGATCCTGCATTATTTCGTCTTCTGATGTTTCATTCTGTAACGGTTGTTCTAATAATTCATTAACGGACGGAATCGTAGACATTTCTTCTTCATTTTGCTCTTCATATTCACCCTGGGTCCTTATTTGATCTGCATGGGCTAATACACTGTTGCCGTTTACTCTATTTATTATAGCTGTATTGTGGCCTTTTTGCATGATAAATTCTGCCATTTCCGGATTTGCTTCTTTGTTCTTTTTGTACCACTTTTTTTCAGTTGTGGAATACGACATCGTTAGCGGAGCTCTAATTTGTCTTCCCATTAAAGCTGATGGGCTTTCTAGTCTTCCAGCGTGTGGTATTGTGCAATAGCTTAAAAGCAGCCTAGGTAGAAAAATTTCTACTTTTTCTTTTTGCTGAGAGCATGCTTTTAGTCCCGTTTTTACGGTTTGCACCATTCTTTCCACTAACCCGTTCAACTGAGGGTGATATGGGGATGTCTTATACGGTTTACATCCTATTTTTTCTAACCATAAATTAAGATCTTCATCACAAAATTCTGGTGCGTTGTCAGATACCAGGGTTTTTGGTATGCCATTTCTGGAAAATATGACCCTTAGAACCTGTTTTATTGTAGAACTTTGCTTGTCTGGCATCTGGATTCAGGCCATCCTGAAAAAGAGTCTACTAGAATTAATAAGAGTCGCACTCCAGTAATATACGCATGATCCATATGCACCCGACTCCATGGTTCCACTTCTCTGGGCCACGAATTTAAAGTAGTCTGTGTAAAGTTTCTTAATTCTTTACATTTTTTGCACCTTTTTATATCTTCTTCAACATCTCTTGAATATCCCGGCCACCATGCTTCTAATTTTATCCTTTTGTGTATTACTACTCCACAGTGTATATCATCATGTACACTTTTTATTACCAATTTTCTTTTTTGTGTTTCTGGGGAACTATCAGATCCCCCATTACAAATCACTCCATATTCTATCGTTAAGTTCTGTCTTATTTCTTTGTAGGGTCTTTCCGCCCTAGAACAATTTCCCCATGAGTTTTTTCTTATTCTCGATATTATCCTACTTAGTACTGGATCATGTCTAGTTTCTGCAGCCATTCTATCTAAAGACAAAACATCAGTCTCTACCCAATGTAAGAATGCATCTTCAAATTCTTCTTCTGTTTTATCTTTTGACTCCTTGTAAAATCGCAATCTTGATAGTGCATCTACGTGTGGAATTGAATTTCCTTTGACATATTCTATATCAAAGTCAAATGTCATTAATCTTATTGCCCATCTTAGTAACCCTATTGGCGTATTTATCGTGGTTACTTCTTTGAAGTTATCGTCTATTGGTATTTGATGGCATGCCGTTTTTAAATCTATTTTTGTAAAAACGCTCATTCCTGCCAATGCGTGTAATGCAACTTCAACATTCGGTATAGGATATGAATCCGAACAAACTTTGTGATTTACGCATATTTTGTAATCTCCACGAATACGTAAATCACCATCTGTCTTCCTCAAAACTACAATGGGTGATGCGCACTTGCTACCCCCAGGGGGAACATGTTCAAGAAGGTCTTGTTCTATTAATTTTCGTAGTTTTGTTACTACTAATGGCAACAAATGTACTGGTAATTTTCGTGCCTCATAATAAGAGCGGGAGACATTTTCTTTTAATTTTAAACTCACTTTATAGTTTTTTAACTTTCCGGTTTTTTCCATTTTTATCTCATTAACTAATTTGGTAGAATTTATGTTAAGCACGTCGTTTCCAAGAAGCCCGTGGTTCTTTTTACAACTTGTGACAATTATAGGTATTACTTCAAATTTATCTTCTAACTCCAAGGAACCTTCAAAGTATCCTAAAGTTTTTATGACCGACCCATCAAATTGGCGGTGTTGTAAACTGCTCTTTCGTAAAGGTGGCTTTCCAATGCGTTCTCAAAAATGTTTTGGTATCAGCGTTACTTCACTCCCAGTATCAATTTGCATATGAAAATTGCAGTTGTTGATTTTAACCTTTAGTATAATATCTCTTTTCTTTTGTTCAATTTTTTCTATATTCTTATTTTTAATGTGAAGACTTCCATATTGGTTTCGTTTTCTTCAACTCTTTCAACGTTTTTCTTTTTGAATTTGCACACTGCTTGAAAGTGGTTCTTTTTTAGGCAATTTGTACAGGTTTTTCCAAATGCTGGGCATTTTTCCCTTTTTATTTCGTGTTTACGTCCACAATACGAACATTTTCTTATCTTTTTTAACATGTACGTATCAGCGAATATTTGTTCGCTGGGTTGACTTTTATGATGGTTGTATTTCTGTATTAATTCTTGTTGCTGTATAAAGTCAATGCATGTACTTAAAGACATATTTCCTATTTGTAGTTGTTCCATTATTTTATATCGGTGTGATGCATTGTACATACCTTCAATTAACCTTAATTGAATCAAGTCCTCTTGAATAGTCTGTTCGTCTTGTCCGAGTTTTTCAAATTCGCAATATCTACTCGCATTTCCTAAACGGTGTAGATATTTTATGACTGATTCGTCAATTTCTTGTTTCATCGTCATGAACTTCGTTCTTTCTGCCACTACCAGCCTTTTCTTGGGTCTCATGTTTCTCCTTATAATCTGACTTATTTTTTCGAAAGTCAGGTCTTCCAACTTTGTGGGATATGCCATGGTGGAGACTTTCATTATCGCCTCGCATCCAGCTGTAGCCAAAAATAAATCCGTAATTTCATTTTCGCCTCCCTTCTCCTTGTTGTCTTTCAGCTTTTTACTTCTCGCACTGGCAGAAAAACAGCGAATCCATGCATCCACGAAATCTGAATCTTCTAGAGACAAATATCGATCCTATTGGCGACGCCATTAATGTGAAGTCAAAGTTTAGCACTAGTCAGTCGCTAAGCTTGTCTTCTTCCTACGTTATTCTCAGTGACGAGTTATATAGGCTTTCTCTTGCACTTATGCAAATTAGGCATATTAATTTGCCACTGTCACTACATGCTCCAAGTGCTTTTTGTGGTCTTACAGAGTACTGAGGTTTTTTGTTTTGTTTTGTTTGTTTTAATTAAGAGGATTCGGTAAAGAGCGCAATAAATGGCATTCTGAATGTATGACATTTGGTAAATATGGTGGTCGAGCAAAATCTTGCAAGCCAAGTGGTAAGAAATTTATTGTATGGACATCAAAGAAGCAATCTGACGTTATCTTGATGGAATATAACTCCCTTGCTCTTCATTAATTACGGACGCACTATTTTCATCGCATCACTGAGAACCGTATTTGTTTGAATTTAATTCTCCAGAAATAACTCATAACAGAGAATCCCTATCCAATCCCACTATCTATATAGCATCACCTTCTTTGAATGAAAACCAGCCTTTGGTTCATTTCACTTGGCACACGATCTCTTGAGCTCAAATGTTGCTGCAAAGTAGTTCCTTTTCATGACACAGTTTATGCCACTACAGAACATAACTAAAGTCCAGTGGATTTATCTGTTTATTCATTTTTGCTTATATGAGAGTCGCACATCAAAGCAACGTATATAACCAAATTGCACCAATTTGTATGATTTTCATCACTTTATTTGGATATTTTGTGACAATTTAGAAATTGTAGCACATGGCCGGGGGACAAATAGGGAGGGAGGGGGTCTGGTCTTCCTTAGCTATCTTCGTCTTAGTTAATCCGACTCACTCATTCATTCGTTACAATTTACTCATTCACCACAAGAACTTATCCATCACCTCTCGATCCTACATACACCAAAATACCGCATATTTGTAGGGGACCTACAAAACGCACCCTATGACACGGAAAGACAGTTGAGCAGGGTTGGTTTGTTTTTCAACAATTTATCCGTATGTCAAATCCACTAACATAACCAATCTGATGCAAATGATTTTCACTGAACGCTTTGGATATTTTTGAATATGTGGACAATCTCTTGCGTTATATAGGATTGATAATTCTTTTAAAATCTCTTCATTTGATCGATAACAACCTCAACAAAGTAATCTACATAACCTAAGTTCGTTCGACGAGTAGTTTTCTGTAAGGAATAAGTTCGCCACTAACTTTTGACACATTTCATCATCCACTCTACATTTTTCGTTTAGAAATTTTTTGTTTTCGATTTTAGACGCATTTTTATTTTAATTAATTTGTTGACATTTTGCTTATTTTCTTCCGTAATCCTTGTTCGAATTAATAACAGGAATACACCAATTTAGAGACAAAAGTTTTAAAAATGCACACCGGTAAAACAACAATGACAAAAAGGATATTCTTTAACGGAGTTAGTTAAAACTAAATACTCTTAACGATAAAACAAAGCGAACTTTTGGGGATTACCTCGACCCCTTCTCTCTCTCTCTCTCTCTCTCTCTCTCACGCATTAAGTGATCATCAGACCATAGTGAAACTGACAACCACCATGAAGTATTTATTTTTATGTCAACTTATTTTATATCTTCACGCGCTCTATTCTTGTTGTCGAGCAATCTCCCTCCACCCATAAAATTAGAAACTAAAAATCTTCAAAAAGATTTAATTTAAACAATTTACCCGACCCTCTGGTGAACTTATTTCACTTTTCGTCTCTTACAAGCGATTGCATGTGTTTTGTTTATTCATTTAGTCATTCTTTTTTTTTTTAATAAAATCTTTTAATTTAAATAAAATTTTAACTCACTCGAGATTTTTACGCTTAACAATCGTACTATTATTATTGTTATGTAACACAGAATCACCTGTATCGATTGATGACAGAGGGAAAACATATTGTGAACTTAAATTTTAGTTATTCAATGGAGATTTTTTAGAAATCCAGCATAATTGAAAATATAGTTCTTGTAACACACAGACAATCAAAATTTGATAGAAAACAAATATTCATCTAAGGAATTGAGCATGAGAATTATAATTACGTACCACTCCGTCTTTTTGATCGGAGTCAAAAGAATCAAGAAATAGCCGCAAACATTGATCTTCACTAAATTCACCGTTAAGGAATTTCGGATGATGCTTTACATTGTAGACTCCTTTCAGGTCTTCTGTGGTAATGACGCCGTCGTGCGTTCTATCGAGTTTAGTGAAGGCTTTCATTATCAGGTTCTTCCGGTGCTGAGACATGGGTGGCTGATTTAAAGAAATTAAAAGCAACATTAACAAAAATTATTAATTCTCTGACGAGTACTCTGATTTCAAACTTGTTATTTAACTTCTTAACGTCCTGGATAAATTTTTTGTAATTATTGGACGAAAATAAAAAATAAATCTCAACATTTACATCCCATCACGTTTAGCTTTTTCGAGAAAAAAAACAGCTATTTTAAATGATAATGTTGAAATAGACAAAAAACATAATCTCTGTTAGCAGAAATACTGGATGAGTGAAAAGTAGCGGCCAGTTTCTGAGAGGTCATGTTGTTAATATTTATCTTGCAGATTAGTAATTTTATTAGTTAATTCTTTTGCCAATAGCTTGATAAAAACTTTTCCCAGAAAGTAGATCGATTGAGAGTCCGACACGGTCCATATCTCCCTCCACCAGATTTCTTTCTGGTTTTAGTTAGGGGTGGGGGTGGGATGGACTCAAATCACTACAAAGCTTGATGAAATTGATATCAAACTCTGCGGGCGTGTGTGACACGAATTTAGGTAATAATGGCACAGGTAATAACGGCACAGTTGTAATGGCACAAATGAAAAAAATAGAAAAAATAAGTTTATTGAAATATACGCTACTGGCAAAAAAAAAGTTGGTTTTGAAAAGAAATCTAATTTTTTTTTACATTCTTCCTATTTTTTTACCCTTGTGCCATTTTTACCTTTCACCATATGCGCCACTCTATGTTTGTTCGGCTGCAATCGTACATTGATCACGAAGGAGGACATTCCAAAGTTTAAACATTGCAAATTTGGAACAGTTTGGAACAATTTCTTAATAATTTGGTTTCCGAATAAATGATTTGATGAAACATGTCTTTCATTGATTTCAATCTTGCAATACAAACAACAAAATCTGACAATTATAAAAACAGAACTCGGATGCAATTTTTGACGCACATTGTAGAATTGATTGGGAAATCGAGTTACGTTTAACTTATATACGTAACGAAATTCATATATATATATACATTGTACAGAATTCTATACATATAAATTAAACATTTAAAAAAATGTAAGCATAATGTATTGTAATACTTACTTTGTAAGTTATAAATATTGTTGCTTCTCAGTCAGTTAAGTGTCATACGCGATACACGCTTGGACAATCATGTCTCTTACGATTCATGAATGACTAAGCAAAATATTTTCTCACAGTAAGTTGCCGTTATGTGTGAGGGTGGGTTCAAACCCTTTCTCCTCTCTCTCTCTTTTTTTTTTGGGGGGGGGCGCACCTCTCTCTCTCAATAATACGGAACATTAGTTCATGCCAGAGATAATCCAGTCACCAAATAAAGAGTCACATCTTACCAAATTAATTAGAAACAACTAATCGAGAAACAGAACAATACTACATACAAAGATAATGTTATTCCAATAAATAAATACATCAACTAAAAGAGAAATAGCGAGGAAGTTGTAGAGTAGAAATGGAAGGTCTCATTAGATAATGGGAGACTTCCACAGGCAGACAATGGAGAACATTAGTTACCTCCTGCCATGTAGGTATCGCCACTAATTCGACGAATTAGTAGCGAAAAAAGGCCCCGAACTTAATGAAAAAACATTTATCGTCTAAATGTTTGTTATTATTAAGAGGAAAGGCCAAAGTATTTTTTGAATATTTTATTAAATTTTATCATCCTTTTTAGAAGCTCCGAAATTTTGATTATATATATATATATATATATATATATATATATATATATATATATATATATATATATGTGCGCAGGTATGCAGAAAATAGAAAAGAACACGTTGGGTACATAATCCGGAGCTCCTTAGTATTTTTGTTTTTATTTTTAGAAGACAGTGCTCCATACAGAAGTAGAGCTTATATTATAATATTTTTTTGTTTAAAAATATGATTCCTTCGCTACATAAGAGTTCTCATGTTTCAAAAACGAGAGCCGAAACCATCCAAATAATTATTAAAATTAAGTTGAATTGAGAATTGAGTTGAATTTAGTCCCGTTTCATCTTCAAGCGAAATTTTAGGATTAAGCTATCTCTTGGTTTACGTGTGTTTTTAGGCACGGTTCGTTATAACATTCGTTATTGTGGGAGTGGCTAGGCGAGTTATTTTCGTTAAGTGGTCAGAGAGTTAATTCTTATCTATAGATTCATCATCTTCTGAGAGGTTTTGCTCAGGTTGGGTAGGGTATCTATTTCAAGGCTAATGTTGGCGGTCATCCTCTAGTTAGTTCCCAGTGAGGGATATTTTTATGGCGCGCCTACAAGTCATTATGTGTCGGGAGGATTTTGTTTTATTATTGTCTATCTGATTATCTCTTTATTTATTAGTTTATTCAAGTGGGTGCTTCATATACAAACCGTATTACACTGAATTTCAATTTGTTTTTTGACGACTACAGAAAGGGTTTTTCCTATTTAATGATTTAGCTAAGCTTTTAAGACTTTTATTAAACTATGGGATATCCTTACGTTTGAAGATGATTTCTGAAAAAATAATTTAAAATACTAATAATAAAATAAATTTAAAATTTCATGAAAGAAATACTTAATTTTTACGTACATTTCTTATGAAATTTTATGGTATTATTTTTATTTATTATTAATTTTTATATCACAGTTATGAAAAAATTTTCACAACTTAGATATTATAAAAATTAATAATTAAAAATAATACCATAAAATTTCATAAACAAGATAGATACCTAATAATTATAGGTACCTCTCTCATTTATATGAATTATTATAATTTTAATGTGTTAACTTTCCTTATTTTTAATATTGCTTTATTTTCGTCCCTAGCATTGAAACTAAAAAGAAAATAATTAACTTTTGAAAATGCGACAATTATGGTCAAAGTCAGTCAGAGCGTTCAACACAAGTTTTAAAACACGTGTCATTTAAGGTCACGTACGATCAGCGATATATTTGGAAAGACAAGTTTTTATGCACACTCAAAAACAGACTAAAATTCTTTTTTTAAAATATCTGTGCGTCGCAAATTTTAATAAGCATTCAAATTTATTTATGATGTGTAAATAGTAATGTGTAGTTTAATAAAAGTCTTAAAAAAGCTACTTAATAACAAAATTCCCTAATCTGCGCAGGTTGGAACTTAATTTTAAAATATTTAACTTTATCGCATTTTTATTTATATGACAGTCTAAAAAAAGTCTAAAATAATCTCATTCATTTGTGAGTAAGTTTTGAAATTTTCATTAACAGACAATTATTTGATTTTTGCGAGAATTTCCAGATTTTTAACCAAGATTTCAAACGTGCTAGAAAGGATAAAAAAAAAACTAATAAAATATTTAAAAGAAATACTCTGGTCTTTACTCTTAATAATAACAAATATTTTGACGATAAAACTTTGTTTTTATTAAGTTTGGAACCTTTTCATGATGCTATGCTGTTTTTTCAACGAATTAGTGGAGATACCATTATCTTATGTAGTATTGTTCTGTTTTTAATAAATTTGCCAATCTCCTTCTTAGTGACTGATGTGATAAGCGTAATTGTAAATAAATCTATGCTCTATTTTCACTTAATAATTCGAATTTGAAACTTAATAAATAACACTTTCAGTTCCACCCTAACACATACTCGGAGTTAATCGTACACTTAACCTCAATCGGCGTTAAGTGTACGATTATTACAGTTACACCGATCCTATCTTCCTATCTTCCTATCCTTGAACGTTGTTCAGAGGCTCTCCCACTTTGCATTTTCGTACAGCTTCCAATTTATCACCCCCTCTCGAGGCCAACTGTACATTTCGACATTTTCGTAAATTAACGCAGTCCACTTCTTAAGTAATCGGAAATATTCGAACAAACCAAACAGCTTCTTAATGAAATAAACGAACTGCATCAATATAACTGGAAATTTAAGTCTGAAACTTAGAAAAGAAAAACGTCCGTGCACCTTATTTTACTCTACTTTGGTTTGTTATCTATAACGGAAAATATCTACAGTCTACACCATACAAATTTTATTTTGGAATAATATTTACATAGTAAAACAGGTGCTACTTTGGCTTGTTATCTTTTCCTTGCCAAAGAAGCATCATGTTTTACTATGTAGATATCATTCCAAAATAAGATCATGTCTCTCTACCTCCCTCGCGGCTCTCAACAAGTTCCTTCCCTCTCCTTCCTCCCCCAGAAACAAGTTCTGTTATCCACTTACTTAAGCCCGCCAGATATGTCACGCGTTGTTTTTCCTTGTCTGTCTTTCCCTCTATTTGACCCGTGAGTATCAGATTCTCTAGGTCCTTTTTTTCTCATTATGTGTCCCAGAACCTTCAGCTACCTTTTCCTGATATAAGCCTCCTCCTTGTTTACAACCTCTCTAAGACCTCATCTCTACTTCCTTCAATAACCATAAAAAAGTACTGCTTTAGTATAAGACCAGTGGATCTGTGACCAGAGCAGAATGAAATGTAAAGTAAGAATTCTTTACCAAATAATTTTTTGAAAAATTTTCAATTGTAACAATCATATGAAGTGTCCAATATGTGCATTTAACAAATCTGGCATGTAGCTGGTCTTATTTTTTGGTAACTTTTTTTTGGTAAAAAAAAAAGAAAAAAATAGGAGACTTTTCCTCACACCCCTCCCGAGAGACAAAAAATAAGAATAGAAAAGAAAGTAATTAAGTAATACTGTTAACATTTTTTATTACTTTAAGAAATATTTATCCATAGTTAGATATGTTCATGCATCGTATTTGCAATCTAATTGCTCATTCCGGTGACATCGAATCCTGTTAAAGAACCTAATTTGCATACGTCCCTTAAAATAAGTGCCGTAAAAAAACTGTTATGACATGATTAAATTAATTTTCCGCTAGTTTTTTGTAAGATAACAGGAAGTATCACGACTTAAGTTAAAAAAAACTAAAGACAAATGAAATAATTTACATTCATAGATATGCCTCTTCCCTACAATTATCACCGATAGACACAACGGGTCTAGAAGAAAAGAAAAAAA